CCCCCCCCCCCCCCCCCCCCCCCCCCCCCCCCACACCCCCACCCCCACAGTTTTTCAATATTTCTGAAGGGGAATTTTTTTTTTTTTTTTTTTTTTTTTAATTTTGGGTCATTTTGATCTGAATCAAAATATTTTGGTTTGTTGAACTGACCTGAAACAATTTTTTGGGGTCAGCTCAATATTAAACTTCATTTCCCTATTATAGTGAATTGTCCCATGGGGATTATAGTTCATATTCCCATGTTCTCCTTTGGGCTGCGTTCTCTGATATGATTATATTGCCCAACATGCAACATTATCTTTCCTGGGACTCAGCAGCATAGTGCCTCATGGTAGTCATGTATATGGAGGTGCATCATGGAAGATGTAGTCTGGCCAGGGAGCCTGGCCTATAAGGAGGATGGAGGCATCAGGCTCCTGAACTACAGCTCACATGAGGCAATGTGCTACAATAGGAAAATGCAGTTTAATGTTGAGCTGACTCAAAAAAAAAAAATGTTTCATGTTAGTTCAGCAAACCGAAAAAAAGCATTTATTCATTTCTGAATTGAAAATGTTCTGAACTCTGCATCCTGTGAAAAATTAAGGTATTTAAACTTTCTCCAATTTCGGACAAAAACAAATGTTGAAATATAGAAATTTCCTGTGGAACGGAAATTCTTTTGCTCAGCTCTAATGGGAACAATGCTGTCCTCCCGAACTTGATACCAGGGGCTCAGTTCATGTCCCAAAAGTTCCAGCACATGATGATTCTTCATCTGATGAGTTGTAAAGTGCTATGTGTGTATTATTACTACTTACTCTTTTGGGGTTAGAAGAAGGCTCTAGTTTGCTATCTGAACAAATACATAAGCATGTGTAAATTGTGAGGTTTTTAACACCATTTTAAAATCTAACTTGTTTTTCTATTTGTTTGTCTCATTAGGAAGATGGTGCAGGGCAACTTTTGGTACTGGGTGCTACAAACCGTCCGCATGCACTGGATGCAGCGTTACGCAGACCTGGGCGTTTTGATAAAGAGATAGAAATCGGGGTCCCCAATGCCCAAGACCGATTCGACATCCTCAGAAAACTTCTTAATAAGGTTCCTCATCTGTTGACAACAACAGAGTTGGTGCAGCTGGCTGATAGTGCCCATGGCTATGTGGGAGCAGACTTGGCAGCCTTGTGCAAAGAAGCAGGTAAGGTATGCTGCTAGTCCCACCGAGAGTTCACTTACTCTAAAAATCCACCAGACTGCTAATGGTACACACAGTACATCTCACAGAGTGACTCAAAACAATGAAATCTTTTCTCTGTTTTCATATTTTTGTAAAATTTTCTAACAAAATCCACAAAGGGCTTTAGAAAGTTAACAGACCATTGGGAAACTGGGGTAGTTAAGGGGGTTGGTAATGGGATCTGGAGCCTCTTGCTTTCCTGCCAACAGTGTGACTTTAGTCCAGGCTGTTTGCGACCAAAAGTTGTCGTCATCTCATGACTGTTCCCATGTGGCTCTTCTCAGCCCCTTTTTCACCATTGCCACTTTTGTTGTCTGGTCAAGGACTAAGTGGACATGAAGACTGAAATACTCTCTCCCCACTAGAGGGGAGTAGTATGAAAAATATTGGTTGTCTGCTGCCCTAGCCATATTGTTCTATGGACAAAGAGAGTCTCCACACTGCCAGATCTTTAACAGGCACTTAAAATATTTTTAAAAATAATAATTAAAAAAAAAAAGAATGTTGACTGTCAGAATCCTCATGTCCTTTTTAGTTTAGTATATAAAAAGTCTCTTGTAAGCTGTTGGTCAGTGCATTGAATGGATTGTGACTGTTTCCAGGTATTCCTAAGAGCTTCTCTGCTCTTTCCTCAGTAAACAAAATTGTGAGGCACTAAGAGAGTTATCCTCACAATGCATTCTGGGTTGGATACACTGGGGAATGTTTAAAAGCAAACCTATTTCTGTTTTTAAAGAAAAATCATAGAAACTTTCAATTTTTCATTTTCAAAAACAAGGGTTTATAAAATTTAAATGTCAGGCTTTAAACTGCCCTTAGAGCATTTAAAAAAAAAACACCCCATAATTATTGTCAGAACATGACTAATATTATACCTGCACCTTTTTATTCAACAGAGTTTTGCTAAAAGTAGTAATGGAATAGAGCACTGGATTCTATTCTGACCCATGCATTGTGAATGAAATTGTCTGTTAAGCTTGCAGAATTGTTATTATGGGGGATAATGCATAAACCAGAAAGATCTATACTTGATAATCAGAGTTTACAGGGCTGTCTGTCAAATATTCATCTGTTGATTTGTGTACAGATTAAATGAAGAAGATAAATATGGACGTTTGGTGTCATTTTAACAGAGTCACTTTGCAGGCTATAACCATGCTTTAAGCTCTGTTGTAAGCTAGCAGTCATTCTTTTTAAAACAAACAAAAAACTCACCATTCCCACTCCTCCTCTCCCCCCCTTCCTCCCCCCGGTTCTGATTTGAAAAATCTCAGTCTGAGACCCCCCTCTGTGGACATTGAGGTCCACATTTCAAAGGTGTTTCAACCCAGTCTCTACTTGTGTACGTGCAACTTTTCTCTCTGATCTTGGGCACTTATTTTGTGCATCTTTAAAGGATGATTACCTAGTCTTTTTAGATCTATGGATGGAACACGTGGCATAAATATAAAGTATCTTAATTATTATGCAGACCTCTATGCTTTTGTTGTTTTGTATTACAGTAGTAATACAAATAGAAACAATTTACCAATTTTTTCCGTAAAAAATAAACATTGGAACTTTGTTATAATGATATTTGCAAAAAGACTTTTTGGCTTAGAGACTTACAGGAAAGGAATTAAATACCTTTTTATATTTATTTTATTTATTTAACAGCAGTGTCTATTTTTCCTGATGATGAATTTTATCATTTTTGAATGTGTACTTTGCAAAGAAAAGTCATTAAGTATCTTTCTGAAGCTTGTAAAAATATATGGCATATTCATCACAGATACATAAAAGTGAGAGATGGAAATGATCTGCCTACATAGTATATAGCCTGCCCCGTTACCCGTGAAGACTTCTTCTGGTACATTTTCCAATGTTTTCTTTTGTCTTATTTTGAAGTCCCAAGCAATGGACTTGTACCACTTCTCTTAGGAGACTATTCCACAGTCTAGTACATCTTACTGTCCAGGAGTGTTTCCTGATATTCTGCCTATGTTTTTATAGATTAGTGTTATCCCATTATTTCTTGTTATGTCCCTGTATAACACATTAACTCTCCTTCCTTGGTGTTTACACACTTCAGATGTTTGTATGCTGTTATCATATCCCCCCATCACCTCATTCATTACTTAACCAAACTATAAATATTTAGCTCTTTTAATCTTCTCATAAATAAGTCCTTCCAGTCTCCTGATAACGTTTGTTGTTTGTTCTCTGAACTCCCTCCAATTTGTCAAAAACCTTTTTGGTAATGTGGTGCTCAAAATTGAACTCAATATTTTGTGTATATTACAGCACAAAAAGCAGCATAAACATGAAGTTAAGATTGCTTAATGCATTTCTAAATAATCCAAACAGTTAAAAATCGGAGAATCCTCTGTTAAGGTTCTTTCACAATTTTAGAAATACATGCTACTTTCAGTCAATACACTTGCATATGAGTACAAATAAAAAATGGGAATTCACATGACCACCTTAATTTTGACCACAAAAAATATAAATTCAATGTAGTAGTATTTATTATTTGTACTGAGATATTACCAAGAGGCGCCAGTTGAGAATCAGGGTCCCAGTGTTCTAGGCATGCTACATATACATTTACGATGGAAAGACAGTTGCTGCCCTAAAAATCTTTCATCTAAATATAATTATGTGCTCACAACAAGTTTAAGCTGCTTCTCGAGAACTCTTCATTCTTAACAATTGTATTGAAAACCTACATAATTTTATATGTATACTATTTTCATGAGCAGAAGGTAATCTGTTTATGATATGGTAACCCAGTGCTATTGTAGGCCAAGCTGTGCAACTGCACATATAGTTAAGGTTGCCTATGACATTTCATTATATGCCAGTTTTTTCTAATGGCTTGTTTACATGGGGACACTCAGGAAAATTAATCCAAATTAACTAATAGTGTGAATGGAAAGTGGATTAGTTAAAATGCATTAAACTCCTGCATGGACACCATCGTTTAGAATTAAAGTGGCCTTAGTTCAGTTTACTTTAATTCACTTGAATTATGAGATATTTAAACTTAATAAATTTTGGGTTCTTATTATTTGCCCTTCTGATTTTTGACCCTTTCAGATACATGGTGGGCACATTTTCAAGCTTTGCATCCAAGAGGGCTAGAAATGTACTTCAGTTTTTAAAAATTAAGCCTGAGATTATCACTAATCTCCAGGGTGGATTGATTTTAAATCAAGGTGATTTATATCATGATTCAAATCTCCAAGTTGAAAGACTAAACTAAAATCGATTATTTAAATTTTTCCATGTGTATTTCAGTTACCGTATATACTCATTCATAAGCCGAATTTTTTTTAGTAAAAAAGGGTATAGAGAGGGAGCAGTGGGATGCAGCCCCTCCCCCCAACAGAGGGAGCAAGGAGAGGCAGCAGAGCCAGAAGGGAAGAGGCGGGGCCGGAGTCTCTCCGCTTCTGGCCACGCTGCTCTCCCCCCAGCCTCCAAAGCAGCTGCAGCTCTGGGGCTGGCAGGCTGCAGCCGTGCCGCTCATCCCATCCCCCAGAGCAGGCTGTGGCCGCACTGCCCGGCCTGCTGGAGCATGCTGCGGCCGTGCCGCCCAGCCTACTGGACCATGCTGCGGTCGTGCCGCCCGGTCTGGCCCGCTGGAGCAGGCTGCGGCCGGGCTGCCCAGCCTGCTGGAGCAGCTCCAGCCAGGTCAGAGACATCCTCCCCTGGCCCTCCCCAGATAAGGTGGGAAAGGATGGGATGGGGAGAGTGTGGGGGTCCTGGGCCAGAAGTAGTGTCATGTGGGGGGTGGTCACAGGGGTTATTCTCCTGACTCCCAGCCTTCCCCCCCGCCCCCCCAAAATTTCCCCACCATTTGCTGTCCCGGCCTGTCAGGGTAAGCAGCTGGCGTGCCGGGACACTTTGTTTACTTAGGTTTACCTCCGTGCCTGCGGACGCTCGAGGTAAACAAACCATCTCGGCCCACCAGCGGCTTATCCTGATGGCCCGGGAGCCAAAGTTTGCTGACCCCTGAATTATAGGGTTGGTTTATGAACAGGTTATAAAAATTTTCCATTTTTACTTCTCCATCTTGGGGGAGGGGATCGGCTTATAAACGAACTGGCTTATGATCAAGTATATATAGTATTTTCTAAAGAAAGGAGCATTCTCATTGGTTGAGAGAACCATGAAAACATGTTGATTTATAACTAAATAGAGCCTTTACACTAAATTTTATACATCTTTTTGCTGTTGCGGAACACTATAACTACAGGTATTTAAGTGATTTTAATATTTTTCAGATTCTTATTAATTGTAAATGTTTTAATATGTCAGGAAATGGTGAATGATGTATAGCTTACTTACTAGATAATTAACTTTTTGCTCATGATTTGTGTCAATCTGCATTAGTCTTGTATTTATCCTTGCTCCATGTTATGGAAAAAACACCAAATATCACGAGGCTCACAATAAAATCGTGTAAGGTGGCAGCACTCATCTCTGCACTTCTTAGACCTGATTGTTGAGCAAGGCCCACGTTAGGAGGCAGGCAAGTATTATTTATCCATTTTACAGATAAGGTAACTTAGGGCTTGTCTACACTGTCCTGCTGTGTGGACTATGGGGATTTGAATCGCAGAGTGCACCAAAATTTTGCTCTCTAGCTGGCCCATTTGGATGCTGATGGCGTGAACTAAAAGGTACCTCGTTTGTGTTAAGACAGTCTTCTTTCAAACAGGACTATGTTAATGTGCACTAGGTACCTTTTTAGTTCGTGTCAGCAATGTCTGCGTGGGGAAGTTAGAGTGCAATGTTTTGGCACGCTCTGCAATTCACACCCCACTGCAGTCTGCACTGCAGCACAGTGTCGATATCCTGAGAGGTTGCACGAGGTCACTTTTGCGCAGAGCTGGGACTAGAACATGGTCTATAACATGACAAGTCTCATTCACTTACATCAGGCACGTGGCCTTTCATAATAAATATGTCTGATCTAT